CAAGACACAATTCTGGATATTTGCAAAGAATAGACCTCAAAACATAGGGCAAATATTAATTAATCTTAAATAAATGTGATGGTAGGGTGCAAGAAACGCAATGTTCAAATTATTTAATATCGTCAACATAAAGCTTTTGTCACTATTATAGACTTATAGCCTGATTCATTCCCCGGTTTCACTTCGTAGAAACCGTCTGACCTCGCAGCAGTAGGATTTGTTCGCTCGACGATAGGCAGGTACTTTTTTTTATTTAACCAATCGCAGCTATTTGGTCGTGACATGTGTAATGCGCCAAATCCTGTAGGAAGAAGGGCAATAAAGTCTTTCCCCTTGATAAAATTCAACAAACATTATCTTTGTTCCGGCTTTAAACTCGACTGCTTTGTTTACTGTTGTGCTGTACCACAAAAAGGACCCAGACAGGTGCTTGAGTTTGACGTCATGGCTTCACAGCTCTTTGCTGATTGGCCGGTACGCGGTCTACAACTTTCAAGGGTTCTTGCAAAACATCTAGTGTATTCCGATTTCTGACCTAGTCGATGGAGAGAAATGAAATTGAGCGGAGGCAATAGGTGGCGCCAGCCTGACTAATAGACTTATCCATAGTGAGAAGATTAACCAACACTTTACTCATGAGTACTACACTCCAGATTTTTATTTACAGACCTCAGACCACTGCAAGAGGGAAAACCACCTCATGAATTACGACAACATCAGACTGTATATATAAATGGACAAAGCTAACCCGCTAGCTGACACATCCCAGATAGGACGTGAACAAAGAGGCAGTTCCAGCTCCATCGACTTTACATTGAAAAATTGTCACCCTCTCTCTGTAACTACTGCAGTGAGTCTTATCATTTTGGTCTTAAAATGTTCGTATTAACCTGCTCTACATGATCCTGGTGTGTTTATTTAGCTATTTTTTATATATACAGTTCCTATTCCTAATATGAAGTTTGACTCTAAATTTGCCCCGATAATTGCTCGCATCATGAACTTCATTTGACTGGAACGAAATACTATGAGTGACATCCACTTAGTCCCTTATGCCGGACAAACACTGTGTAATATTTTCACTCAGCCCCAGCTCAAACTGTACAACTACATTGCAGGGTTTAAAAGTTCACAGCTCACGATTCATATTTTCACGCTATGCCAACTACTTCAACAGTGCGAAATCCTCACGAGAGCAGCTGGATTTCAAACAGGTTTGATATTCTTATGACCTATGACTTCCGATCAGGAGCTGGTTGTGAGTTATTAATTGGTTCTCATTCCCCCATGTATTATGGCACACAAAGCCAAAACTCGTTCCGATCTCCAAAACAGTGGCATGAGTGAAAAATCGTCTCAAAAAGCTCCAAAAATTGCACAGTGTAAGCCCGGCTTGAGGTCACTTCTTTAGACAATCCATGGACAATGCTAGGGTTATAGGCACAGATAGCAACAAGTAGCATTGTTGGATCAGGGAGGCCACTGAAATCTGAAAACGGACTGTAAATCAGGATGAGGGGGCATGACAACTCTCTCACACCTGGGATTCAAAGTGATTCAAAGTGCAGACAAAACCGACAAGGTATGAAATTAATAGGTTTGTGCATAAGAATCTAAAGTATAATCAATACAGAAGACCTAATGAACTGTGTGATTAAAAAAATAAAAATAAATGATTTTGTAACACAATTTAAGTATATTTTAGTTGATTATTTTAATAAGGCAATTTCATTCTTACTTTATCTTAACTAATTGTTATACTTTTTAGTGTGACTCTATTGCTCAAATTCTTGTATTTTGCAGTTTCAACCCTGCCGTTTCCCCACTGCGGGACAAATAAAGGTCATTTTAGCTTATATTATCGCCTTACTTTTATAAGTAAATGTTAGAAGTTTTATTTAATAGTTATTGTGACATCAACCTTTCCAGGGACTGTGGGAAGAAACTGGTATTTTCACTAAAACCACTCTTATGACATTTTCTTTTATAAAGGTTACAGTTTTTTTGTCACTAATCAAATATTAAAATTCTATTTCTTCTCCAGTTTCTAAAATAATTGTTACTCTGAATAATCTCGAGCACTTGCATTTGTGAAAGATAAATAAATAAGTCTTGGCATTGATTGGCTGTGATCCTATTAGCGGCTGAGGACATCAAACGCCCGCCTTGTACAGTCCCATTATCGGCGCCTCCTCTCTCCCTGTCTCTCTCCACTTTGTTTGTCCTGGTCCTTCAAGTATCCGCTTACATCACTGCCGCTATCTGCAAAGGTCAAAGTTCACAGACGCGCAACTGCAAAGGGGGAGGGGAGGAGCAAGAGGGGGTAATTAATATCAGTTACCATGGCGACTGGAGAAAGCTAAGAAGCGGTCAGAACGCGAATTGATTGCGCGTGAGTGTGCATCTTTGTAATCTGGCAATCTGTTGTCCCGCTTGTCAATGTGCAATGATTTTGACTTGGGGGTGACGCACTGTGGCTAAAAAAGGACTACGATAAACACAGATAGGTTACACAAACATAATTTATTTTAAGGGGTAATTTTAGCCATGGAAAATAAAGTTTGTTAGTGTTTCTAATGCTGAAATAACACAGGGGCTGTACTTTTAAACTTGGTAACCAGAACTTCATCCTCCCAGAATTCTGTTATCCAAATAATGTTATGTCATGCAATATATTAACACTGTAAACTCAAAATAGCATGGCTTCATTGGGAATCATGTGGTTTTACTCAAGTAGGAGTAGGAAATTTTAGGTAAACAGGAAGATGTATTATTATAGTCACACAATGTTTTATTTTAACTCTCACTAATCAAGATAGGCAAAGTAAAACAGTGGCCAAATGGATCTAATGTATATGATTTTGTGAAGCTTCCACCACCTACTTGATGTTATTGTTTTGCCTGAAATGTTACACGGCCTCCATGAAGACAGGCAGGGGGGAAATCTGTCTTGTTTGATGCCACTGCGCCAAGTTATAGGTCGGATCTGTGGAGAGGTAAGCCTTCTCAAAGAACAAATGCATGTTTGTATGTTATTCTTTTATTACTAATTAATAGGGATGTAACAATAACCAAAATATTGTGATATCGTACCATCAAAAGTCTCACAATAATATCGTGGGCTGTCATAATAAATTGAATTACAAGTTTCTTTGCTTAAATGCATGGTTTTATAGTAGCGACATCTTAGAAGCACAGGGAACTCCATATCCCATGATTCATTTCAGTGCAGATAACATGAAGAAATATGTTTTTGACTTAAATTCTTGGGATTATGATGGAAATAATTCACATCAAAATCTTGTCTAGGTATTTTAAAAGCAAAAAAGTGTCCTATCTACAATTATATCAGCCTCTGCAAAATATCGCAATAAATACCGTTCCGTGAGATGCATATCATGATAATATCGTACTGAGAGATTTGGATATTGTCACATCCCTACCAATTAAAACAGCTATTTAAAGAAAGATAGGCAAGCTTAATGCTATGCTATGGAACATTCTGGGCACAACAATAACATATCTATGGAGACAAGCAGGTGGAATGCAGTCCCACTCCCACCAGAAAAGTTACATATTGCACCGTTACGTTACAGAGACAGTCCAGAATTTTGGACATAGGGCCTCATTTCCTAGTGAGCCAGAGTGTTGGAGACGTGTGGAGACACTTTTTTAAATATTCCATCCAGTCCTTGTATTTGCAGAGGTCGCTGGTGCTAGGCTAGTGCATGTCAATGGCCATTGTTATCCTGCCACTAAAAACAGTCTTACCCACTCCACAAAACACCCGAATCAAATCTATTATTATGCCAGACTGTCGATATAAATGTCTATGTTGATAGAATAATGTTAGAAATAAAACTAACCTTGCATCGCATGAATCGTCGCATGTTGACGGACTATTTTCTCAACAACAGCAGAATTTTACTTTGCCGGTAAGAAAGGTGGTCAGGAAGTGCAACTTGCGGCTGCTGCTCAGACATAAATCCTTCAAATGCAAGGTTGATTTTACTTCTAAAATTATCTATCGACACAGACATTCACATCGACAGTCTGGCCTTATAATTGATTTGCCTCAGGTGTTTTGTGGAGTGGGTAAGACTGTTTTTAGTGGCAGGATAACTATGGCCATTGACATGCACTAGCCTAGCACCAGCGACCTCTGCAAATACAAGGACTGGATGGAATATTTAAAAAAGTGTCTCCACACGTCTCCAACACTCTGGCTCACTAGGAAATGAGGTCCTGTGTCCAAAATTCTGGACTGTTCCTTTAATTTACATTACACACAGACAGTATTTAGTTGTGGGCCTAGTAAAAGAGGATGCCATTTTAGTTTATGTTTCAAAGCTGAATATTTAATTTAGTCAAGAACACACATTGTCCCATATTGTCTCCATCTCACTCAACACTCACAGCTAAAAACACTCATATCACTGCTCTCTCTCACACTTTTTTTTTTTTTTTCCATTTTACCCATCTACAGTGCAGCAATAGAACCAAAAGTCACCTCACCCTCTCCATTTCCTCGAGGACAAACTGTGTCTTCTCTTCCTTCATTGCATCTACTTGCTTGGATCAGGCCAGGGTCTATCTATTCAATAAGCTAGTCACTACACCTCACCCATAAGTCATTTGTATTTGTCTCCTGGTTAAATCTGCTTCCAAACGCTGATATTTTGATAAAACTGGTGAAGAATGGCTCTAAAAATCAGTATTGTCTTAACTTTAAATCTAACAGAGCAATAGAGCGGTGGAGTTTGCCGTGCTGTCAAGGTCAGTGGGGGATTTGGCTGAACCAAAAGCAAACAGGAGGACCAGAGGAGTCGAGTAACCCTTTAGAAATGGAAAGATGATTAAACATTGAGTGAAAACGAAGACTCTGTGCTATGCAGCTAGTACCTTGTATGGATTATGCATGGTCATACTCAGCTATGTGCAAAGCTACATTATATTAACATACCATTATACCTAAAGTTAAGAACAAAAAGTGCTCATACCGTTGGAATTCCCGGACGATCGAGCCAGTCAGCATAAATCGAACTGAGGGTGAGGCCTTTTCTGGAACACAGTAAAACCAATGTTAAATCAAAGGGAATAATTTTTCATAATAATATCGGAAAAATAACTTAATATTTGATTTAAACATGCAGTCAAACAAACGATAGCTGGGTTTCACATGACGTCACAGGGCTACGTTTGTCAGCGCGTGAAATCAGATGGAGGGCAGGAAGTGAACTAACTGAAGGAAGCTGTTGCGTCTTTGTCTGGAAAACACCGATGTGTTGTGTAGTTTACGGCTGAGCCAATCATTCTATCCGAGAGAAGGAAAAGTGATTTTTTAGAGTACCGAAGATAGTCGTCCACAAAGGTCAGAAATGGGAAAAGCTGACAGAACAACGCCGTAAAAAGTGGATTACAGACCTATGTTTGCGGTCGGGAGGAGCAGAATCCGCAAATGCTTGTGTCTGCAGTGACCACTTCATCAAAAGTATGTTATAAAGATAAATTGTTTTTTGAGGTTTACCTAAACATAAATGAATCATTAACAACTAACGGCTAACGACGATTGTTGACATTAAATAGTTGGGATAGATCGGTTACTGCCGATACACTGCAGTTTTTTCCATAATGGTCTATACACATACAATAAGAGAACACTCACCCAAACTTAGACCAAATGATAATCATCATGTAGGCATTTTGCACAAAGGTTGTGAACCCATCCACTCACAAAAAAAGTTACATGCCTACAAACTTTTGTACACCTTCATCTGTTGTCTGGTGTAGAACAATGTCTGGAGAACTAAGTAATTTGTGATATCCACTGCCTCGATTGTCGGCACATCTTTTACTTCGGTCGAAAATTCCCTCATTGCCATCAGATAGGGTCACGTCACGTCAACTGCTCGTACCTTTGCCTTGTTACTGGCTCTAAATCCTTACAATAAGAACTCTTCTCCATATCTGTATTCTCCATAGCTGTGTTTGTCGTGTTTGTCTTCACTTCCTGCCCTCCACCTGAAATTTGTGCGTCATCGTGATCACGTGACTGAAACCCTCCTATTACAACTCAACCGGGGATACCATTATCTTCTGTAATCCACTGAGGACATCATTTTGGGTGATTAATTTTGGGTTGGTTGCAAGCTGGATATAGTAAAAGGATCTGGCAACCCAAAGTAAGGGGCTGATTCTGCTTTCATCATCTTGAGAACAGAGAGGTAATGTTTATTAAATATTGAAGACAACTCATGCATTTATGACCTTTAAAGGTGCATTATGTAACATTTCTGGCAGGGGGTCTGCCACCTGCTCATTTCCGTGGAAATGTGCTTTGTTGTTATGTTGCTGTTGGAAATACGGCGTTAAACTTGGGCCTGCCTATCTCGCATGAATTTCTGTGCAGGTGTTTTAAAGCTTGAAAAACATGCATTTTACTGTGAGTGGGGTTGCCTGACCTGTGATTTGTCCCCATGTTGTCACCTGGAGTTGTGTTTTGTTTCATTCGCACATATTTAACACACAAACCCTGCATATTTAGGCTCTCAAATAAAAAAAAACACTCTGTTCTACATTGTGATGTCATGTGGTAATACAGAAAGGGCTCCACTGTGTTTTTAAATTTCCAAGCTCTACTGAAAAAAAGGTAAAAGGTAGCTGGTAATCTGAACTACCCCTTCAAGACATCACAAGGTAGAACAGAGCATTTTGAGTTTTGGAGATTTAGACAGACTATTAATAAAGGATTACTCAAATGTGTGAATGAAACAAAACACAACTCCAGGTATTTTTGGTGAGGTAATAAAATATTAACATATGCTATTACATTCTTTTTTCAGACCAAGACACACACAGTAACACAAAGCAGAACAGGAACAATTCAAATCGGCCATCTCTGACCACTGTAAAAGAGAGAACCACATTATAGATTGGGCGAACATCATTGGGACAGAGGAAAACAAACACCATTGCTGGATTAAAGAGGCAATCAAAATACGGAAACATGCCCACGGGACTATAAACCGGGACGGGAGGGCATTTTTACTCTCACACACCTGAGATACTGTCCTGAGGAAGTCGGACTGCAGATGGGGCTGTCGTCCTGCCTCCACTGGTAGGAAGACAGCGCCAAAACTTGTTTAAATCAGCTGACTGGACACGTCACAGCAACATCACGTGACCACTCTGAGGAAGACCACTAGTGAAAAGTCGAAACTACGGTATCAGGTATGAAAACAAACTCTTGGTCTGAAAAAAGAACCTAATAACATAAATTATCCAAAATTAAATGAACCTCATTGAACCAAAATACTAACATAACTAAAAGCTCACATAAGTCAGCCGTTAATATCATTGCCCCCATTATAGTACTGTATGAATGTTACTACTACGAAAATGTATGTCTGGGAAATTACTGTGACGTTCACAGTTGACTTAAGCAAAACCGGACACACCCACTCACTCTACACAGCAAACGTATGAGCTTGTACGTGGATTACAAAGAAAAACTGTAGAGCAAATTGTCATATATCATTCACAATGCAAACAAAGTGAACAGCCACACAAATACGGCATTGGCTCAAGTACACATGCAAATCCCTACCTTCCCCCCATCATCATCAATTCTGCCTGCTTATAGGAAAATTCCACACTTGAGAGCCATTTCGCCATATTAGTCTTGTCATGTTCTGCCAATTAAATGGGAAAAATACATTCTTTGTGCAGTGTTTTTCCTCTAGTGGTACAATCATACTTGCTTGTGAAATACAGACATTTTTGTAATTACGACTTTTCCTAATGAAACGTTAGGGCCACGGCATTCGTTTATGAATGGGTACAAGAGTTCATGGCAATTATTAGCCGTGGTGTAATGACTGGGTTCTCTTAAAGCACAAACAACACGGAGCAGTTCAGAAAATGTTGTAAATAATATTTTATATCATTACACATCCGTGAACAGTTTTGAAGGTAATTATTCTGGAAGTTGCCGTGGGCTCTGTGATCGTCATTTGGTTGTATTATTTAACATGGGGCTGCTGATCTCGACAGCAAATAAGTTCTATATAGACGAGAAATATATTGGATGATCAATACATCTTGCCAATATTTGCACTTTTTAGCTTATCGCCTTAAAGGTGCACTGCGTAACTTTTCTGGTCTGCCACTGGAGATGTTATTGCTTTGCCTGGAATGTTAAACGGTATAGTATTTAAGATCTATTCAGGATTTATTTCATTACGGGTCTTTTAATTTGAGAAAACGCCATAGGATCGCACATTTCTACTGTTACTCGGGCCACCTCTTCACAGATCTGACCTGTAACTTGGCCTGATGACGTCTCCTTGGAGATAAATAAGTTTATTAACATACTGTAGTAGAACATTCCAGCCCAAAGCAATAACACTGCCATACAAGCAGATGGTGGTAGCCTGATTCATCAGCCGGTTTCACTTCATATCATTAGGATTTGTTCGCTCGACGGTAGGCGGGTATTTATTTTATTTAACCAGTCGCTGCTATTGGGTTGTGACATATGTAATGCACCAAATCTCGTAGGAAGAAAAGCAATAACATCTTTCTCCTTGATAAAATTCACTAAACATTCTCCTTGTTCCAGCTTTAAATCCTCGATCTCAGGAATCGTTGCCAACACAGAATGTGTGTCTTCATCTACATCGATCTCGACCACTTTGTTTACTGTTGTGCTGTTCCACCAAAGGGACCCAGACAGGTGCTTGAGTTTAGCATCATGTCTTCACAGCTCTTCGCTGATTGGCCAGTGTGCCGTCTACAACTTCCTTCCTTCCGTTCTTGCAAACCATCTAGTGTATTCTGATTCCTGACCTAGTTGCTGGAGAGAAATGAAATTGAGCAGAGGTACTAGGTGGCTCCAGCCTGGCTAAGATGGTGGACCCTCAACCAGTACATTTACGCAATGCACCTTTAAATCTCCAGCACAGGTTATTTAGTTTCACCTAACACACATAATGCTTCATTTGAACACTTTAGTGGAAGGAGATAACAGCACAAACCCTAAGTGTGGGTAAGTTTACTGTAAATTACATTACAGCATTTGAGGAAAATAATCAAAATTGCTTAATTGGTTAATAATAATAATTTGAAAAATGTTATAACTGGCCCAAAAACATTGCCAGAGCTGACTGGCCATTGGATGCTCACAATAGTAAATTTTGCGTAATACAGGACCTTTCAATATAGTTGCTTAAATGTAAATTTGATCACATTAGTATATTTTTTAATCAGAAATGTGGTCAGTGCCTTGGTGGAGGTCTGCACTGTTATAGGGAGAACAAACAGTCAAAACCCACTGACTCAAATAAAAGTCATTGCATATTGGCTGAAGGTAATCCTGCATTCAGCTCATAAGAGAACATCTGCTGCTCTGATATGGAGACACTGCATGGCCGGATTACAGCGGATTATGTCAGCATACTTTCTTGTGTGGCAAACAAAACCTTAATACACTTAATACATCACCTGACCTGTCACACTGTGGGTAATAGGACTAAAACACAAATGCGCTTTGGTCCCCGGAGAGCACGAAAAGTCCCACTCGCATTTTCATGTTGCTCCACTAATCTTGTTTTAATCTATCGGTTATTACCTTAATGGCGTTTGGATGAGAAGCTACTGCTGTTTGATGCCTGGAAAATGTTGGTTTCCTGTTAGGAGCAATCAATAACAACGCTGTGAAGTTAAAAATGTCAGCTCTCTCTTCGAGTGTGTTGTTTACTAAAATAAGCATCGGACACACAATATCGAGCGTAATCAGGAGTGCTCTGGACGTGGCTTGGAGCAATGGTACTTCCACAATGACGGAGAGGAGAGGGGCTGGAAAGTCAGGCTGAAGAGGAGGTTAATGAGCCAATCAGAGGGAATAGAGACGTGAATGATGAAGCGTGCGCAGGGAGGGAGAGTAAATTGGAGAGGAGGAGAGCAGGAGGAGCAGATATCCTCTTACACTGGATTACTGCGAGAGTGGATGGGAGCGCTGCTGCTGCTGGGAGCCATGCTTTCACAGTGGGACATATGCACTGTAGCAGAACCAAAGCCAAATTAGCACACGCCCAAGAACTAATTTCCTGTATTCTCCCAGACATTAATGAGAAAAAAACATAATTTTGTTTTAAAGTTGGGGCTCCAAGTTTCAGCTATTAATGAGAAAAATCTATTTAAAGTTTTTTGCAGAATAAACAGGTTTGTTTTTTTGGGTAGTTTAACTGTGCCGATGGCACAACACAAACATTTAGAAAATACTTTCTTTGGGAATATAGTAATAACAAAAAAGTGTTGGATTTATATAGTGCTTTTGGGCTCTCTCATTTGCATTGCATTATTCATTCACTGTCCACAGGTAAGCAATAATGTATTAAGCTCAAAAAGTGCTTCACATTTACTTTTCATTCACTCCACTTTGTGGTAGCCACAGCTGCCCTAGTACAGACTGAAGAAACAAGGCTGCCAATCTGTGCCATTGGCGTCTCTGACACTCACACACTATAACTACTGGGTGACAGAAGCACAGAGATCCTCTGATCTGAAGGCTGGCAGTTCGAATCCCACACTCGACATAAACAGGAGACAGTGGCTCTGTGGTTAGAACAGTTGTCCCCCAATCAGAAGGTCAGATGAAGGTCAATTCCTGCATGAATGATTGGTGGTGGTTGGAGGGGCCAAAGGCGCAGATTGGCAGCCTCACTTCCATCCCTCTGTCTCAGGTATCTTACCACCACTGAGTATGGAATGACTGAATAAAGACTATGGAGCACTTTACGCCTTACAAGTGCAAAGCATTATTATGGGCGGCAGTAGCTCAGTTGGTAGAGCATTCGCCCACTGATCTGAAGGTTGGCGGTTTGAATCCAGCTCTCTACATAAACATCACAGGTTGAGCGGTCAGATCCACTGACCCACAGGTTGGCTGGTGTGATTCCAGCTCCCACAGATGAATGCTGCTGTTGTGTCCTTGGGCAAGACACTTAACCCACCTTGCCCACAGTTTCTGTGTACACTGGTGTATGAATGGGTGAGTGGTTGTAAAGCGCTTTGAGTGCCTTGAAGGTGGAAAAGCGCTATAGAAAATGTGACCATTTACCATGTGTCATTGGTAGTGCTAAGATCCACTGACCCACAGGTTGATGGCTGATTGCATCTTCCACAGATGAATGCTGCATACTGGTGTGTGACTGGGTGAGCGCCTACCTTGAAGGTAGAAAAGTGCTAAATGTGCCTATTTTGCATTTAAATACTAGTACTGTGTAGTGAGGTGAACTTCTAACCTGGTTATCAGACAACCACTAACTGTGGCTTTACAGTTCCAGGGCTTTTCATTCAAGTATTATCATTAGAGCAAAACGTTTTAGCTCATATTGTGCCATAATCTCAGTGCTGAGTGCCAGAAAAAAGCACAGATACCCTCTTTGACATTATACATTACTCATAAAAGACGCATCAACAGGGGGTGACATGGAAACATTTTCTTAAACCCAGAATGCTAATTATGGTGCCAGGCATCCTTACTTTGAGCTATCAGAACATTTTTGTCCAAAAATAATGAAAATATAAATTAGATTCTACATTTTAATTAATTTTTCATGTCTTCATCTAATTGCTCCATAGCTCCTCATAGTACTTTCAGGAGGAGGCATGATTTATTATTAACCAATTAGCCCATGGCCATTAATCATTGTGACGTACATACCTCTCAATGTCAGGAAAGGTAAACAGCACCATTTTCAGGAAGTCCTATCCAAAATAGAGAGACACAAACAAAGGCGTGTTAGCATGGGCCGACATGGGAGCAGAGCCAAAGAAAGAGAAAGGCGTAACTGATCTGGAGACAGGGGGCCAAGGTCAAATGGTGTTTATACTTGATCCATTATTTAGAGTGCGGACAGCAGCGAGTGGTGAGGAAACAGGAGCCAGGTGGAACTCATCCCATGTCAGACACAAACAGGTCCAGGTGTGATCCCTCAGCTGTGCAGGCCCAGAGGAGCGGGCATATGCTAACGGCTAACACGCCAATTTAAGAAGCAACAGCAGCTGTTTTAGTGTGAACAACAATTCTACTGTGAAAATAAATGAAATTATTTTGTTGACGAAATATTGCTCACCTTAGAATCCTACTATCTACAAGTTTGTCTGTTGCACCTTGTGATGTCATGTGGTTTTTTAAGATTCATACATTTTCACTAAAATCGTTTGGATTATTTTAGCCCTGGAATTGTCAGTAAAAGGATTACTCAAACATGTACAAATGAAATAAATCACAACAGCAGGTATGTTTCTGGTCAGATTATAGCATTATAACATGGCTTAAAGCTCACAAGAGTCAATTTTGTGTACCGTATTTTTGTGACTATAAGGTGCACTGGATTATAAGGCCCAATATCAATAATGTTGAATTCTCTCATCTATTTTCATACATAAGGCGCAACGGATTATAAAGCGGATTAAGCGAACCAAACGGACGACATTTGAGACTGATCCCTTAGCCCAAGCATCCACGATCCATCGGCAGATCGTGGCGTAATTCGCCCAGTGTTGACTCCCTGTCTTGGTGAATGCGTATTATTAATGCAAATGTAGGGATGATGTGATGAACAATAATATTTTAATTAAATTAGGGCAGGTGGCGGTTTAACTACTCAAATAAAAAAAGCGGAGCAATACATGCATCATGAATTTCGGACTTCCGGTCATTGTGCAATGCATACTGGGAAGGATTTTCCAAAAAAGTGAGCATCAAATCTCAATGTTTGTTTTCCCAGTGGGATGTGTCTATTGACAAAGCCAGTCTTTTCTAATCTTTTGAACCATATCACTTTTGTTTCTGGTTCTGATATTGTCACATTTTAGTTTTGGGATTCAGACATCATAATTGTGTGGTTGTTGGATGTCCTAACACCAGAAAGCAGATGGTGGGCAGGTGAGGTTTTGAGAATTGGTCAAAAACCGTGGGTGCAAATGGATAGCGGATGGATGATGAGCTTTGTGATGCGGTTGCGGATGAAAAATAGCCCATCAGCGCACCTCTAATGTGGGTGGATAATTTTGTTTGTTTTTTTATTTCCTACGAGGAGGACTCAAATATGCATTGAGTAATAATGTGTTTAATGCACTTTTGCCCACATTTGTTTACGTTTTACAGAAATGAAACTTAAAACCACATGACTAATTTGCATAAACTATAAGTACTGAAAAACGGCTTAAAGACACAACTCGGTGTAATATATGTGAAAATCGGTTCAGGGTCAGTAAGCACAACCTGAATGAATACATAAGGCGCACTGGATTATAGGGCTGATTTTTGATTGTTGATTCTTAGAGAAAATTAAGGGATTTTAAGTGCGCATTATAGTTAAAAAAAATACAGTAATATAGGACCTTTAACTCAGCTCTGTGCTTCAATATTTCCCCTTCCCCCTCCTCCTATTGGTTGGTCAACCTGCGTCCTGCTTTAAATGAGTGAGAGGCACATTCAGCCGGTCGCAGAAGAGGCAGCAGATGGCATTTAGCAATCTGTAACATAACTAAATATGCATAAATTATGATAAAATCGAAACTATGATCCAGATTTTGAGAAAACCATTATATGAATTTCCTTGGCATATCTCCCGCTCTTATGTCAAACACTCAAACGGAGCATCCAGGTGTGATTTCTCAGCTGTGAGGGCCCCAGAAGACCCAGCATATGTCCACGGCTAACGCGCCAATTTCAGATGCAGCTGTAGCCATTTCAGCTATTGTAACACGGGCTCCCAATTAATTTATGGAAATAACATAGTGCCTCAGAGACAGGTCATATTAAAGAGGTTTAAATCTGAGCTGGAGTTTTATTAACGCGCTCTCGGATGGCTTCCAGTCAACATGCTACACGGGCCGTTAAGTTAATTGAGAGGAAATGAGGTCGCTCCCTTCGCTGCGTACCTGAGAGAGAATGAGCTGTCCGTGGACTTTCTTCACAAACACTCGGAAGAAATCGATAAACTGTTGTTCGCCGACTTCACTGGCCAGGAATCTGAGAAGGAAGTAGCCCTGGAAAAGATCAGATAATATTATTATATCTAACATTATTCTGAATTCAACCTTAATCCTATTTCTGGTTATTTAAAGCCACAGTATGCACATTTTTAGCCAAAATCAGACAACAAAATATGGATTTTTGTTTTTTTGTTTCATTTTGGATGTTTTGTGTATTTTTTTCTGGTAGAGGGTCGGTCAAATGCATTATTCCATGAGATGCTATTACTTTGTTTGAAATGTTTCACAGTATGGCATTAAACCTTTCTATTTCCATGGAGATCAAACCAGACCAAGTTACAGGTCAGATCTGTGGAGAGACAACCCCACTCACAGTCCTACCACATGTTTTTCTAGGTATTTTTGAGCTATAAAACTTATGAGCTATGAAACTGAATAAATGTAAGGTAGAGCAGTTTAAAGCCAAACTGTGGAACATTCCAGGCAGAGCAATGACGTATAAATGGAAACAAAGAAGTGACAGACTCTCCAACAGAAAACTTACACAATGCACCTTTAATTTGAGCAGGCTTGCATCTTCACAAGTCTGACTCTCACTTGGCCTGGATGAAGGACTATATCTGTCACAATAACAAGTTTTGAAGCACAATAAATATCTGCAGAGAAATACAGAGACAAACAATAATATTGAAAATATCCTCTGTGCTCTGACCTTGGTGCTGGGAGACCTTCAAGCAGGACAGTCCCAGTAAATTCATTTTTAAGTATACAGTATCATTAAAAAGCCTGACTTAATCAATAACAGAATGAAGCAATAATTATATGAAAGCCAGAACGATATATTTTGGGGCTCAATATTTAATGATGAGTTGATATAGAAATTGTCGTGACAGGTCTACTTGTTTCCATGGAAATATTGTTCTTTTGGCTATAATCTTCTAGCCTGATTCATCAGCTGGTTTCACTTCGTGGAAACCGTCTGACTTCACAACATTAGGATTCGTTCACTCGACAGTAGGTGGGTACTTTTTTATTTTATTTTACCAAGCTGTGCTATTTGGTCATGACGTATGTAATGCACCAAATCCCGTAGGAGGAAGGGCAATAACGTCTTTCCCCTTGATAAAATTCACCAAACATTCTCTTTGTTCTGGCTTTAAATCCTGGATCTCAGGAATCGTTGCCAAAACAGAATGTCTGTCTTCGTCTATATCAATCTCGACCGCTTTGTTTACTGTTGTGCTGTACCACAAAAGGGACCCAGACAGGCGCTTGAGTTTGACATCAAGGCTTCACAGCTCTTCGCTGTTTGGCCGGTGCACGGTCTACAATTTCCGGGGTTTTCGCAAACCGTCTCGTGTATTTTGATTCCTGACCTAGTCGCTGGAGAGAAATGAAATTGAGCGAAGGCACTAGGTGGTGCCAGACTGGCTAATAATCTTCCACAGTATGGCATAAAACGTATCTGCCTCCATGGAGAATGTTTTGCTTTTTTGTTTTAAATTTCTATTTTCGGGGAATGTAGTTAGAATTTAGTGTAGTTTAGTTTAGACTGACATTAACATCTGTCACTAGACTAAAGATGAAAAATAGCAGTTCTTGCGAATTCTTGCATATTTACAGAAATATTCATTAATGTCTCATAAATAAATACTGCAGGTGACCATGACAGCACCAGAAAGTTAACATGCTATATCTTTAATTTGGACAACTTTAAAAAAAAAAAAAAAAAAAAAAAGTATAATTTACAAATTATCATATAAACAAAGTTGCTGCCCAAATGAAACAGAATCCTTAGAAATAAGGAAGAGGCCTGATGAGTCAATTTGTACACGCTAAAACTTTATAACAACATATGCATCCACCTTCAACATACTGTGAGAATGATTATGTAATTAATAAAATTTGTAATTAGTATTCAGTCATTTCTAAATCTCAGTGATCAGCTTGGTCTTCTTAATCAAGAGCCCCACAACTAATCTTCTGTGAGTAAATGCATGTGGTTTGGAGCAGAGGTCAGATTATGGAGGAACAAATTTGCTTTTGTATGTACTGTATGTCCAAGTACCAATTAAGTTAATGGGAAAGTAGGAATAGTAGTAAAATTTAAAAATAAAATTGAAAAGGGCAAAAAAAGTCTCTGTTTCTGCTAGGTTACATTTGACAGTATGAAGTATGAATTAAAATGGTGATTATTTTACCATAATCAAGTCAATATAAACTACAACTACATTCATGTTAACAATTTAGCTCATCAGTCTAAATAAGTGAAACATAATATTAACTTTCAGCTGTTTGACGTAACTTTTTCAAAAATTCCATAGTGTCTCTGTTATCTGTAGGACCAAAAACCATCAACCTTGACTTTTCCCCCCCTTTTTTACTTTATTAAAAAGGCTCTGTACCTGATTTTTATGGCCTTAAAGCAGAACTAGTTAATTTTATATTGTTTGCAAGGTATTCCTCACATTTCACGATGAGTTTATGAGCACTTTTCACAACTTTCAGAGGTCAGAGAAGAGTTTTATAATTCAACAACTAGCGTACTAACTGCACTTCATGATTTTCATACGACAAAATTTAATTAGATAATTAGATAGATAGATGGATATTACTCAGATGACTTATTTTCACCTCAAGAGCTGCTTATATAATATAGATAATACAAAAAAAATGATATACGGAGATTTTAAAAGCATGACCAGTTTCATTCTTTGCTATTCTATTTTGTTATTCTTACTCAAACAATCAGTGCTGGAATTTTATTTCTCCAGTTTCCTGTTACATTCCTCACTGTTAGTTTCCTGATTTCCTTCCTTCAATAGTCTCTCACCTTTAGATAATGGACTTGCATGAATGTTTTGTCCGGGTTGAGAGCATGTTTGACTGTAGAAGATCCGGACTCACTCACCGCACCAGTGCTGTCCAGGTTGGGTCTGAAAAATAAAAACACAATCACAATAGGGAAGGAAAAACTCATAAGCATGTACGTAAGAAGGGCAAGGAGAAGGACACAGAGCTGAACAATTTGGCGGATAATAATAAAAAACATAATTGCTTTTATTTATTTGTTTAATTAATTACTGAGTGACATTGCAATATTATTTTTTGTGTTGTGCGGTAAAAGTTTCAATATTCTGTGCAGACATCCAGAGACACTGAAATACTAAACTGATACAATAATCCCATGCATTTCAGAACATGTTTGTAGAGGTCTAAAGAGCTGTACTGATACTTTGCAATGACATCATGCTGGGGGTTTTCTACATCATTGTTTCCCAAAGACTGGGTAGCAAGAGATTTTTTTTGGGTCACCTTCTCACGATCTGTACAGTTCTGACACATGTTTAAATGTTAAGACATGTTTTCTGTAACACAAAGTTGAAAAAGTTGGAAAAAACTGAGGCACTCTAAAAGTACAAAATAACTAAAAGTCTTTAATACCACAAGGCAGATAAAGTTAAACACAATTCTGCATGATTTCTTTATATCCGAGCACAATTCTGCACAATTTCTGTATATCCAAGCACAATGCTGCATGATTTCTGTATATCCAAGTACAATGCTGCATGATTTCTGTATATCCAAGCACAATTCTGCATGATTTCTGTATATCCAAGCACAATTCTGCACAATTTCTGTATATCCAAGCACAATTCTGCACAATTTCTGTATATCCAAGTACAGTTCTGCACAATTTCTGTATATCCAAGTACAGTTCTGCACAATTTCTGTATATCTGAGCACAATTCTGCACGATTTCTGTATATCCAAGCACAATTCTGCACGATTTCTGTATATCCAAGCACAATTCTGCACAATTTCTGTATATCCAAGTACAGTTCTGCACAATTTCTGTATATCCAAGTACAGTTCTGCACAATTTCTGTATATCTGAGCACAATTCTGCACGATTTCTGTATATCCAAGTACAATTCTGCACGATTTCTGTATATCCAAGCACAATTCTGCACGATTTCTGTATATCCAAGTACAATTCTGCATGATTTCTGTATATCCAAGCACAATTCTGCACAATTTCTGTATATCCAAGCACAATTCTGCACGATTTCTGTATATCCAAGCACAATTCTGCACGATTTCTGTATATCCGAGTACAATTCTGCATGATTTCTGTATATCCAAGCACATTTCTGCACAATTTCTGTATATCCAAGCACAATTCTGCATGATTTCTGTATATCCAAGCACAATTCTGCACAATTTCTGTATATCCAAGCACAATTCTGCATGATTTCTGTATATCCAAGTACAATTCTGCACAATTTCTGTATATTCAAGCACAATTCTGCACAATTTCTGTATATCCAAGTACATTCTGCACAATTTCTGTATATCCAAGCACAATTCTGCACGATTTCTGTATATCCAAGCACAATTCTGCACGATTTCTGTATATCCGAGCACAATTCTGCACGATTTCTGTATATCCAAGCACAATTCTGCACAATTTCTATATATCCAAGCACAATTCTGCATGATTTCTGTATATTCAAGCACAATTCTGCACAATTTCTGTATATCCAAGTACAGTTCTGCACAATTTCTGTATATCCGAGCACAATTCTGCATGATTTCTGTATATCCAAGTAGCACTCCTGGCCCCCCAAAGCTTTGCAGTGTTTTCTATAATTTCTAATCTTTTTGTAATTATTTTATTGACTATTTTGCTCGAGTATTGCTGGTTCAATTGAATGTTGAAAAGAAAAGGAAATGGGCTACATTTAATGTCCAAATAGGCGACTTATGGATAACTTTTATTGCTGGCTCAATTACTGTTTTTCAGTGTTTAAAACTTGAGTACCACTAATTGTTCAGAGAGACACGATCACTCAGTCAACAATAAAATATCCTCTTTAATGTTCAATAACGGTCAAATCCACCTTTATTTTGTGATTTATGAATAATGTCTACTGACTTAGGTTGCGAAGGTTTGTGATCTTTTAAAATTTTCCCCAGAAAAAAGTTTGGGAAACACTGCTTTACATTTACGTGTACGTGTATGAAGGTCATCTGAAAACTCAACAAAACTGATGTAAACAGCAAATTTTATATCAGTGTAATCAGTAAGAGCATTCATAGTTCTGTTTACAAATTTGGATGAGAATGACTAACTAAAACACTAGGGATGTAATAATAACCGAAATACTGTGATATCGTATCCTATCATCAAAAGTCTCACAATAATATTGTATACTGTCAAAATATATTGAATTATAAGTTTCTTTGCTTACATGCATGGTTTTATAGTTGCAACAGCTTATAAACATAGGAAACTACATATCCCATGATTCATTTCAGTGCAGACAACATGAAGAAACATGTTTTATCCTTGAATTCTTGGGATTGTGGTGGAAATAATTCACACTAAAATCTTTTCAAGGTATTTTAAAAGCAAAAACAGTTTCCCATCTACAATTATATTAGTCTCTCCAAAATATCGCAATAAATGTCGTACCGTGAGATGCATATCGTGATAATATTATACCGAGAGCTTTGGATATTGTTACAAAAAAACTGTTGGCTAATTATGATTATCAAGTTTATTTCCATAAAGTGTGCAAGAATCAAGGCATATATACCATAATATTTCCATGGAGACTTGCAGGTGACGGACCCTCCACCAGAAGTTACACATTGCATCTTTAATTACATGTTTATTATGCAATGAAATAGCAGTTTTCTTTTGAATGTGATTAATATTTCAGCCTAGAAGAAACTTTTGCAAACCAGAATTTCTTTTACGCCATACTTCACAAGCCAGTTACACAGACCCACCTACACGGCACAGTAAATCCAGTGCACTCTTTGACTGGGGAGCACATTGTTGCCAAGACGCCCTGCTTTGCTTTGGGCTGGAAATCGAGGATCAGATTTATAGGGGAAGGCTGTAGCGTTTATGTGACCTCACCGTGTAGACTACAAACTGTGACTTTCTGAGCCAGTGGCAAAGTGATCCAATCTGCAAGAACAAGATGTAATGTTCCACCCTCAGACAGGTTAAGACACTTACCCTGTGCACCTGCTATTACTTAGTATCGCTTCAAATGGGCTTAAGCAGTAGCTGGTGGAATTTAGGGACTGTGAATCCAGGATTAGTTATGCCCATTATAAATATACTGTTTTTTTAAAAGTGTTTTGGACCTCTAGACTTTGCCAGGAGAATTTGCTGTGGAAAAGGGAGTGAAGAGAGGAGATGACATTCAGCAACTTCTCAGAGTGGATCTCACAACTCCATGGACCAGCTTAGAGGTTTGTGTATGTGCTGCAGCCTAATAGCCTGCTTCATCAGCCAGTTTCGCTTCATGGAAACCGTCTGACCTCTCAGAATTAGGATTCATTCACTCGACGATAAGTGGATACTTTTTTTATTTAACCAATCGCTGCTGTTTGGTCGTGGGTTATGTAATGTGCCACTAACAGGACTAACTGGTATATTAAGCTTTTCCCAAATCCCGTAGGAAGAAGAGCAATAATGTGTTCCCCTTTGATAAAATTCACCAAACATTCTCTTTGTTCCGGCTTTAAATCCTTGATCTCGGGAACTGTTGCCAACACAGAATGTATGGCTTCGTTTACATCCATCTTGACCACTTTGTTTACTGTTGTGCTGAACCACAAAAGGGACCCAGACAGGTGCTTGAGTTCAACATCATGGCTTCACAGCTCTTCGCTGATTGGCCGGTGCGCGGTCTACAACTTTCGGGGTTCTTGCAAACCGTCAAGTGTATTCCGATTCCTGACCTAGTCACTGGAGAGAAACGAAAGTGGTTCCCAAAGTGCGGGTTGGGACGGTCCAGGGGATTGCAAAGATTTCATTTTAAAAATTATGACAAAATTGGGGCAAATTACCAAATAAAGTACAAGTAATTCAAATCAGTTAAATTCTTTTTGCAGTGGGGGGTCCTGGCAGATTAAATGGTTCTTGGGTCCCGAGCTGAAAAGTTTGACAACCCCTGGCTTGGATCACTTGATATTTTTGCAATCCATCAGATTTGCTAAAAGTATTGCACAAAAATACAGTGAAATGGTCTTGTTTTACATTGTATTATTATTATTGTTTTATATAATTTAAAAAATTCATAGAAAATATTTATTATATTATTCTTAAGCTCTTTACTTCAAATACACTCTGCTTGTACAACACTTTGTCCAAATCAAGTTTAAATTTGCTTTCTAAATATATTTAACATAGATATTCATTACCTAAATTTGTTTGATGTCTATTAAGAAATTAACCATTGTACTTACTGACTTACCGATTACTGACTTTTTGTTTAATAAATGAAAGCTGGAACATCACATTTTGAAATTTTCTATGATAAACACTTGAATGAGTAACTTGATTGATGATGTTTTTATTCTCATGTTTTATTGCTACTGCAGCATTAAGTAGTTCCAATATTACTTTCTGCAGCAATATATCATGCTTACAAATTTGAGTTCAATGTACAAAATCAGTCAAATGCAAATGACTCTTGTACTGACATAACGCACACAAACAAACAAAGTGAATAGAGTCCCGCAGATGAGCACAGGACAGGATGCCGGGCCATCATAGTTGCAGTTAGTGCTATTGATCGTCCAGAGCAGATTAACTCCATGTGCCGATGGGAAGGCCTTGAAGGATCACCCGCCCTCTGCGTCAATACACCAGGCGCCTCGCTGCCGATCAATATCCCCTTCATCACCACTCACGCACTAGCTAGCATCATCACCGCTCACGCACAAACTCACATCATCATGAGGCCTGTCACGATAACAAATTCCAAAGTACGATATATTGCTGAAGAAACCCTCGCCAATAAATGATCATACTGAACGCTATTATGCTACTGATACAATAATCAAGCCTCTACAGCTCTAACTGTATGGTAGAAAGGAAAAATAAAAAGTACAAGTAGAAAGAAAAGCT